TGATGACTCACGGTATTTGTAAACAATAAGAACTGATTCAATAATATCAAAATATTATTCTGTACGTATGTTTGATATGCAACATGTTTTATACGAAAAAGCGGAAGAGGTGACAACCCTGATTAAAACATCCATAAAGCCTATTTTCTTAAAGATTTACGCCTTATTTACAGCGAAGCTGAGAAAATCTATATCAAGTACTAAATATTGCATATCAATAAACACGATGCAAAATTATGACCTAAGCATTAATCTCTTCAAACCCGGTATCCTAATAGTATCCTTGAGAAAAACTTTAGCAAAATAAAAGAAATTAAGAAGTATTACAGACAATTTATTGTTGAATGTAAAAGGTAACTAACAGAATGTATTGTAATCTCTCATTCGAAATCGAGTAAAATCAAAATTAATTGTAATTGTAATTGTACATGACTAGATTCAAGTCAATGTTTGACCAACGAAAATACTAGATTAATGTTTGCTAAAGAAAATATGTAATTGTCAGAACTATTCGAAATATTACTCCGAGTAAATTATTCATCAGAACGAATCACCAATTAAAAACTGTCTCTCAAAATTACCTCAAATTAGAAAAATGATGAATTTTGAGGAAGCTTAGTTTCTCAGTCAGACTTACATACATTTTTGAGCGTCAACACGAAAAAAAAATATATCTGACTCATAGATCTTAATGACTTTTAGTTATTTTAGTGGGTATTACAAGATAATTTTGTGAACTCTTTTCAGAATACTACTAACTCAAGTTTGAATTTCATAATTTGTACTGAAACACTTCTTAACAGGACGAACTTTTTATGAAAGTGTTATATTTCATAATATCTACCTTGTTCATATATTATCAGTTTTCAAAATTCTCTTATAAGCATAAAAGGTCTCCCTCTGCCGTGCATGTCTTAGTAAAGAAAGTAAGAAAAAGTGAATGTAGTAATATGAAAAAGAACGAATTCCGCCAACAAGTTTATCAGCAAAGATTTTGAACTCAAAAACCAATTATGAAAGTAATTTAAAATGAGAACAAAGTGTATTGTTGAAAAATAGCTAAAACTCCAGAAGAGAAACTTTTGCACAGTGATGTTTTTAATCTATATATATATATCTGTACCCATGAAAAAATAAATCAAGATAAGACTCAGCTACCCAGGTCGAGCAATCCAACAATGAGAACCAATCCGACGCAACTCGAATCCAGTAGGATCTTATCGGGCCCTACAGAGCGATCATCGGATTCCGAGTTCGAAGTTGGATCCTCAGTGTCGCATTCCTATGAATTCCAAAGAAACTCCGTTGGATGTCATCGGAAGTTCAATGGGTTCCGACGCCAATTCCTCGATCCGGAATTCTATAAGATTCTGTCGAATGGCAGGATACTATCAAGTTCCTATCGAATGCGGTGTGGGATTTCTCGATCTTGGTAGGAATTAATTTATCATTTCATCGGCTTCTTTCGAAAAAGGATTCTGCAGAATAAAATCAATCTCACAGAGAAGATCTTTTATAATCTAAATTGGCTCTTGTATCAGTGTTTCTAGTGATTAGTGTACCCCATCAGAGCAAAGTGTACGTACACTCTGTTTTTTTGAGACTACACTTTATTTTCCTATGAAGTACACTCTGAAAATAAAATTTTTGACTTAGCAGCGTGTACGCGTACACCGTGCTTCGAAGTCCTATTAAAAACACTGTCTTATATTAGTATTTAGGACCTGCCGATTGTATTCGAAAATCCCAAATTCTAATTGGAAAAAATATTTCGCCGTGAAACTAAAATCTTTCTATTCATACTTATCTTCTATCGGGTATTAAACAGCTAACACTTGATGAAAATTATTTAGCTTTTATCGTTACATACATGTATTTTGTTTCTTTCACACTGACTGATTTGTTTATGACTAGCCGATAGAAAGAATATACGTCTTCATTCATTTCTGTAATCAATCAAATTTACTTTTCCTATCGACGATAGAGCACGCGTTAGGGCATTTATTTTAAATTCAAAATGGACACTAGGTAAAGCTACTGCGATTGACCTTGATCAAGAAGTATATTATTGGTCGAATGTTTCTCACACTGATATCAACCATGTTAAAGTTAGATATCTGAGACTTTCAGTCAATATATACTACTTAGTGATGAAGATGAATGCTATCAACCCGATTTCTTTTATTTTTTTTTAGTTCAAAGTAACTTATAATGTATGATAGCTCTCCTCACTATCAGCCATATAACTCAACGGCACAAGAAGCGTATGATTCAGTAAACCTAACATGATCCAGGCATTGAATATGCCTATGGACATTAGAAACTTTATCGCTTTACAACTAAGCATTCAAATATTGTCGATATTTTACAGTATAATACAGTAAACAAGTCATTGAGTTCGTCTCTTCTTGAGTTAACTATAGAAATAATAAATTTCCTTCAATTTGAACGCGCAAGATACAGCTATTCTCATTGGCTCGTATTACTAAAATAGTTTTTTAGGCTATGAATTTCTTACATTTAGCCTTGAAAGGCACGCGAAATTCAAAGTGGATACTTCAAGTGGGTGATGTATTTCTTAATTGAACTCAATAGTGTTAGTTCAAAACAATATTCACGAAAAATTTCGTATGACTAAAAACTTCTCTATCAAAAACAAGCAAGATCAAGTAACATCAATGCTAGCCCTCTATACAGTGGCATAAGATCATCAGGCAGATATAGAATACAAACTCGCTACACACTTCTACAGCCTTAAACTAGCCTGATACTGTACATAATACATGTTTTACGATCTGAGCATATCAGTCTATTATCTTTTACAAAATACATTATCCTAAAATGAATATCTCTTAGAATATAGCACATGCATAAAATGATTGATAAAAAGAAATGAAGACGATGAATTTTTTTTTCAATAGTTTTATTCTTAACGGTCCAAAACAAGAATCGTTATGTGTATTTTTTTCTTTTTCTTCTCGTTTTTTTTCTTGTACACACAGAGAACGATCGAAAATTAACTCTGTTTCAACAGAATCGTTAGCAATTTTTAAACAGAACTTTGAACTGGTGGTTCATAACCATCGGCACGTTCGACTACTTGACCATTTTCACCGACGGTTACACTACTATAACTTTCACCATGCATTTCCATAAGACGAGCGACTAGCAAAAAATAATAAATTAAGAGAATTAAATTAGACCGTTCGAATAAAGTAAGCTTTATTTTACCGTCGAATTTAGGTTTCTTGATTACTTTCACTTTACGAATGTTAACATTTTGTAATGGATAAATACCACGACAAACTTTTTCGATTTCCGAACCAATACTATTCGGGATACTAAATAAAGAAATTGAATCTATTGAAAACAAGAATCTTGAGAAGAAGAAAATTAATCTTACAGTTTGTTAACAACTTCTTTAAGTTCACTACCACCAATATCACGTGTCATTATTTCGACCATTTTCTTACGTATGGCTTTGATCTAGTATGAAAAAATTTCATATTAAAATTCCTGTAAAATAATTCTTTCGACAAACTTGTGTGTGTTGAGCGTACGATGTTTTTCTAATTTGACCGCGCATTTTCATGGTAAAGCCAATGCAAAAAACACGTAAAAGATAACCATCAGATGTACGAATATCAGCTTGTGCTTCAATTAATGTCTGTAAAATGATTCAATGTGTTGTTCCTACTGATGATTTTAAGGTTATTTTTGTTGATTTTTACCTGCCATTTTTTCACAAGCATACGGAGACGATCTGTTGTAATATCCATGCCATGAAAGTTTGTTAAACAATGGCGACCTTGTACATCTTCACAGATAAGTTTGAATTTACGATAGCTATCTTCATCGTCGAGTGTAATTAAATCACCAAGTGATGATTCAAATACACGACCTTTCAAAGCATCCGAAGCGATTTCTATTGAAAACAAACGGGAAAATTAGACGGACTTCACACAAAAGATAATACTTAACACGTACTTGTGCCTGTTGTGCGTGTTACTAGAGTTCGACCAATATTACGTTTTTGAAAATTGGCTGGTGTTTTAATGTCATACCAATCTTTTTTCGAGAATGGATCGGCACTAAAGGAAAACAAGATTAAAAATTTCATTGCATAAAAAAATTTGTTTTCTTCTAAACAACATACATTTTCTTTTTGCCACCCTTTTTGCCACCTTTTGTAAGACGTTTGTTCTTGCCGATGGCCATTGTTTATAATTTATCTTTAAGGATAGATAAAACAAAAAAAAATATTGATCTTATTTTCAAAAAAATAATATATACAGTCGAATCTCAGTCCCGTCTTGAATACACTTTCATAGAATTTGTGATCGTGTAAATTGTCTCATCATCGATATCGACTGAAGTATTAAATTGATTATTTACAAAGTACTTTTAAATATTGTGCACTAGCCTCATTTTCAAAAAGATAATATATTCAGTCGAATCTCAGTCCCGTCTTGAATACACCTTCATAGAATTTGTAATCGTGTAATTTGTCTCATCATCGATATCGACTGAATTATTATATTGAATATTTACAAAGTACTTCTAAGTAATGTGCAGTAGCCTCCTTTTCATAGACACTGTATTATACAGACAAAAAAAACATTGTATGTAGATGATTCTGATGCATATTCTATAGAACTACTGATATATGACAATAACAAAATGAATAGATCTGAACGAGATATAGTAGAAAATAATTTCAACACTACGAAATGATCCAACAAATAAACTATGGACTAGTCCATAGTAACATTTATATGGCCTTCTCAAAAGAAGCATTAATCGGTATTTAATGTGACACACTTATGCAAATAATTGGTTCTAAAATATTGATTGGTCTTAAAATATTTTCTTAGAACGTAGGAAGAATAACACGACATAAATATTTTTTATAATCATCTGCTGCTTTTTTCTCTTTCTCTCATAAGAAAATCAATTTTTTTGACATATCGATTTTTTTTGTTTGTTTTTAGATATTAAACATGTGCAATTCCTCATATTTTGTTTTAATCTTCAGTCTTTCTCAATTAGTTTCTTTATCATATTCACTTTATTTTCACATTGGTGAAGCAGAACGAAAATGTTTCCTGGAAGAAATACCTGATGATACCTTAGTTATTGGAAAATATAAAGTTGAATTATATGATGAAAATTCAGGCGCATACCGTCCATCAACACCTGGTATTGGTATGCATGTCGAAGTTAAAGACCCTGACGATAAAATAATTTTATCCAAATTATATACAAGCGAAGGACGTTTTACATTTACGTCACATATACCTGGAGAACATATTATTTGTCTATATTCAAATTCAAGCTCTTGGTTTGGCAAACAGAAATTAGTACGTATAAGTATTCAAATAAGGTTATTATTACAATGTTAGTTGCTGTTTTTACTTGTTGTCTAGCGTGTTCATCTTGATATTGATATTGGCGAACATGCAATTGATTATCAACAAGTTGGTGCTCGTGAAAAGCTCACAGAACTTCAACTGCGTGTTAGACAATTATTAGATCAAGTATCACAAATGTATGAGAGATGAATGAAGTATTTTCTTCTTCAGTCGCTTGCAACCTCAGTTTTATGAAAATAAATCCGTTCACTCTAATGTCATATTCTAATGGTTAAAGATGGAAAGGTCTCTTATACATTTGCAAAGTATCTTTAAAATACTGCACATTATTGTAGGTGTTGAATTTTCTATCACTTCTTTCATTCGATTACGAAAAGGTTAAAATAATGAGTGAGTACTCACCAAATTATTTGTTTGTTCCTATCTATTGCAAAAGCGTGACAGGTCGTACATCATAGATACTATTAAATTTAAGTAGAAGAAAATTTTAGTTCGTTCGTCTATTTTGTAGTAGAGAAGTAGCGGTAATTCTTTAATTTGCTTTTCAAAAAGAGTGAAAATGTTTTATCATTGTATATCTATTGAATTGCCGCCGTGGTTGAGTGGATATGTTATTCGACACATATTCACAAGATACTGTGTTCAAGCCACAGTATCACCAATCATGGAATAACCCTGAACAAGTTACTAACGGCTAATTGTTCCGGATGACTCATCCGATAGCGTATCGATTATATCATTAGTCAGTATGCAGAGTCATAACAATAACTTCAACATAGATGTCACGGCCACGTGATCCTATGATGATCGCCAACCCATAATCATTAAGGGGGAAGCGTTGGACGAATGGGGTGCAGATACCGGCGTCTGTAAAAGAGAAAACACGATAGAACCTGGCTGCTTGTGGACCCTTTAGCGCCGGCCCCAACGGGCGATAAGCCTATGGGAGATNCTCATCCGATAGCGTATCGATTATATCATTAGTCAGTATGCAGAGTCAAAACAATAACTTCAACATAGATGTCACGGCCACGTGATCCTATGATGATCGCCAACCCATAATCATTAAGGGGGAAGCGTTGGACGAATGGGGTGCAGATACCGTCGTCTGTAAAAGAGAAAACACGATAGAACCTGGCTGCTTGTGGACCCTTTAGCGCCGGCCCCAACGGGCGATAAGCCTATGGGAGATTATTATATTATATTATCTATTGAATTAGCTTTTGAAATTTTTTTAATAGAGAGTGGGTAATTACTATGAAACATCCGGCAGTTGGAAAAAATGGAAATTTTCGATTTAACAGCAAACCAAAAATTTCTCTATCATTTAAATTTCGTTTTCTATTTTCATGTTTTTTCTTTGACGTATAAGTAATAGTCTGATAGTCAATCATGTATTTCGATAAAAGTACCTCTTCAGTTTTCTCTGAAATAAATATGATTATTTGCAGCTTATCAGAAAGGAAGAACAAAAACATTGGAATGTTTCTATTTCTAGAACGAAAGAACAAAATTATCAACGTTATCGTGAAGAACGTTTTCGTACTCTGAGTGAAACAACAAATCAACGTGTATTATGGTGGTCACTTGCTCAATTGGTTATTTTAGTCATCGCAGGATTTTGGCAAATGCGTCATCTCAGAGGATTTTTTGAAGCTAAAAAGCTTGTTTAAACTCTTAATTTAATTTTTATTAATCTCATATTTCTTTTGATTTTAATATTAATCTCAATTAGCTTTCGGCTAAAATTTTAATTTATTCTGTTTTAGAAAATTTTCTTGTAAAAACTTGAAAAAAAAACAGCAAAAACGATTATTTTTTTCTTTAATAATATTCGATGCTAGCTCGAGGTGTACGCAATGTTATTTATAATTATACGGATGCTCAACGCAAAGTTCGATCAGCAACATCGAATGATGCATGGGGTCCATCACCAGCACTTATGCACGAGATAGCTGATTTAACTGATAATGTGGTTGCTTATGCAGAAATCATGCCAAGTAAGTCTATTGTTTATATTATGATCGAGTGCTACATTTTAAAATAAAATATATGTACGTATGATTTTCAATATATATCATGACATTAAGCTGAAAGTTAATATAAATGTTAAGGTTTTATACTCACATAGAACAAAAAAAAGCACTTTCAGTCTTCTACCTTTTGTGTCCGTGCGAGCTATAGCTAATTTAGTATTCATGTTGGCATCTTCTGGAATCTCCAGAGTCGTTCGGTTATTTCAACAGACGAAGTTAATTTTCTTTTCCGTTTTATATTTGAAAGATGGCACCTGAGACTAACGATTCTCATGGTTTATATTCTTCTCTCTTTTTGAGATAAGTAGCCAATATTCAATGTAAAAACTGTTGTCTATTTCAATTAGAACTCATATTAAAGCAACCAAAACCAGATCACATTTCAAAGATAATTCACATTATCTCTGAAAGTGTTCAAGATCCGAAAGATTCTTCAATATTTTCTATATGCATAGTAAAACTATTTTTTCTCCCATTGATAATATAAAGTTAGACTAAAATGGTTTTCAAAATATTAATATACGATATTCTAATTTATTCAAAAGAAAAAAACAAACATTCCAGCTCAATATAATATAATTCGTTGTGGATTTGATATTGACAGCAATGAACACTTTAATATTTCTATTTCAGTTGTATGGAAACGTTTAAATGATCATGGTAAAAATTGGCGACATGTTTATAAATCTCTTGTTTTACTTGATCATTTAATAAAATATGGCAACGAACGTGTTAGTCAACAATGTAAAGAAAATATTTTTGCTATACAAACATTAAAAGATTTTCAATATGTCGAAGATCAAAAAGATCAAGGTTTTAATGTACGTGAAAAAGCCAAACAGTTAGTTGCTTTACTTAAAGATGATGAACGTTTACGTAATGAACGTCGAAAGGCACAAGAAGCTCGAGAACGATATGCACGTCAAGCTATGGGAATGGATTCAAGTGGTACTGTTACTTATGGACGTCCAACAACTTCAACATCAATTAGACGTAATAGTGCTGAAAGTGGAGATCATTATGGTGCTACAGACTATCCAACAAATTCATATACAGCAAGTTCAACTGCGCATCGTTCATCATCGCTCAATGGAAACCTTCACACACCTTCAGGACAAGATTTTGTTCAACCAACGAATCAAGAAGAAGAACAATTACAAATGCAAATTGCACTAGCTGAATCACAACGTGAAGTAAATTGATATAAGATATTTCATCGTAAATCGCGTTAATTTTTATAGGCTGAAGATGAAGAACGTCGTCGTCGTAATGATGATTTAAAACTTAAAATTGCATTAGAAAGATCAGTCAATGAAACACCAGGAGATGGATTAAACCCACAGGTAAATCATTTTATTATGCACTGTAATAGTATTGAGTCTCGTCGTTGTTTCGTGAGCAAATAAAAAATAGTACAAGACAGTCAAAATATCTCTACTAGAGATGTATACGATCTAGTAACGTATATTAATCTATGCTAGTAAAACGAAAAAATAAATAATCAAACTGAATGCGAGTGCGATTGTTTTGTCAGTATTAAAGTCGAACCCATTTAAGGTTTTATTTGATCGAAAATGTTCATTAAAGATCTGGAAATGTTAATGAACTAGTTAAAGAACTCATAGTTAGTCTAGCAAGTTTCAAAACATTCAACTGTATTCTCTATTCTATTGTCCGATTTCTACAATAGAGATAATGAATAAATTCCTGTTCTTGATACTACCTCAATTTTCACAGGAAATGGAATACAAATAGAGAGATATCAAATGATGTCTACAACATATGTTTATTTTTTTTCTCAAGATAAACATTTATCCTTTTACTTTAATTAAACGTAATGAAAATAGACAGAACTGATTAGCTTCAGGATATTTTCAAGTCAACAAATTATGTTTTTTTATTTAACTGGAAAACAATTAAGAAATAAGATAAGAATTTATTTTTTCTTTTAATTTCAGGGCATTAATTTCAATGCAAACTCTCATCATCTTGCTCCGTCTCTATTTGATACAACTCATCAATTCAATGATCCCTATTTTCCACCACCAACAACATCGAATATCGGTTGGAATCCTCCTAGTGCTCGCCCATCAACTCATCTTGGTATTACAACTGCTACAAGTATAAAAATTCATCTTTTTCTGTTTCTGTTAGCATTTTGTAATTAATTCTTTTCTTTCTTTTCCTAGACGATCCATGGTCAGCAGAAACGACTGGTCGTAGTTCTGCAGTAGCAACTAATGATCCATGGCAAGGAGATACGTCTGCATCTACTACACAAGCTAATCCATGGCCTACAAATAATCATACCACAACTAACAATAATACAGGTCTATCTCTTAATATTGGTGATCCTTGGGGTCTTGGCATCAGTGATTCTCAAACCACAACTGTACCTACAACCACAATGAATTCCAAAACTATTGATAATGAATTAAGTGAATTTTTTGGTGCTAGTCCAAGTAAGAATTTCTCTTATTTTCTAATGCATCTACATATTTATTTCTCAAAGATGTTTCTACATCTAATAATCATCAGCAGCAAGCATCATCGAATCCATGGAATATGCCACCGTCAAATTTTTCTGTCTCATCTACAAACGCAAATTCTACTTCACCAATAAATTCTGGTTTCAGTACAGGTGGCAATTTACTTTATCCAATAATAGCTGGTGCAAATAATTCGAATTCCAATAATTCAAGTCCACTTCCAACAGCACTATCAACATCTCGTAAAACGCCTGAAAGTTTTCTTGGTGAAAACTTTGGTAATTTAGTTAATCTCGATAAATTAGTTACAGAAACAAAGAGTAACACAAAATCAAATCTTTTGTTTATCTATATATTGACCTATTCATTTCTAGATACAAATCCATTTGGTTCAACTGCTCCACGTGCTCAAAACCCATTTGCTAATTTAACAAAGCCACCTACACTTGAACAATTGAGTTCATCAAATAATGTTGGTTTTACTACTGGTTCAACATTACCACCACCGCTCATTCCTTCGTCATTCAATGCAACAGCCTCAACAATAAATACAAATAATCCATTTATGTGAATCTATTAATCTTTTTGACTTTTGTTTTTTTTCTACTAATCTTCCGTGAAAAGAATCAAACTGTAGAGTTCTTATTCTCTTCTTCATTTTTTTTTTAGTTATCACTGATACTGTTATGCGAATTTGAAACACCTTGCTAATAATTATGCCTGGAATCTCTTCTTTTTGTTCTGTATAATGTGAAACTGATATATATATAGATAAATATAAATCGTTTCTTAATCAATTTAAACTGCCAAAGAAAAAGTTTTTTTCGAAGTGTACATTAATTCTAACATACTTTTTTTTTCATACGGATATAGTTACTTGTATTTTTTTCTCTACAACAATAAAATTAAAAAAAGCAAATAGATAAGTTTTTTCTTCTTTCTTTCCATGATTGATAAAATACTTTAATTTATTTGTTTTCTTTAGATGGCCACATCAACAATTACTGAGGACGAAACATCTGTTAGTCCACCAACAGCATCTATGTTTGCTGCACCTGATCCCGATGTAAATCAATCAACGTTCGAACGAAATGAAACAATTGAGCCTATTATATCGTTTGGTTTAATAACAGATATTCACTATGCTGATCATGATGATCGATGGAATCATGTTCAAACACATTTACGACGCTATAGAAACTCTGCTAATCTAGTCGATGAAGCATGTCATTATTGGTTAAATGGAAAATATCCAATATCATTTGTGCTTCAACTGGGCGATCTGATCGATGGAGTTTGTCATACAAATAAAACATCAGGCAACGATTTAAATGTCATACTAGAACAATTTAAAAAGACATTGAATTCTCTACCTATTTATCATATATGGGGTAATCATGAATTATATAATTTTACACGGCAAGAGCTATTAAATGGACCATTATGTTCGTTTGATACAAAAACTAGTTCGCTAGCACATTATGGAACATTTGAAGTATGCCCTAATTTGAGAATTATTGCACTTGATACCTATGAATTCAGTGCATTAGGTGTAGGTAATGACAGTGAAGTCTATGGTAAATCAATGGAATTATTGAGAAAGCACAATCAAAATGAAAGTCCCAATGATCCTACAGGTTTACGAGGACATCAACGAAGATACGTACAATTCAATGGTGGAATTACATCAAAACAGATGGATTGGTTGAAAGAACAATTAACTGAAGCGAAAAATCGTGATGAAAAAGTTATTGTTATTGGTAAGAATCTATGATCTACTTTCATAAGAGTTTGAACTATATTTCTTAACTATTGAGAAAGAAAGAAATCGAAAACACGGAGTATCGAGTATAGGTTATACTAAGGATCTTGATGATGTGAAGTTTATATGTGACGCAATTTGAAACAAATGTTGAAATAAAAAAAGCATTTAGCAGACTCTAAGTGTGATTGTCATAGAAATATTAGGAACATTTATATTTATTGTATTTTACTATGAACTTAGTTATTTGTCAGATTCTTATCAAAAAAAGAAGAAAACTTCAATATGTTTTTTCTTTGCCTTCGGTTCAAAAACTTATTTCAATGCATAGTGAATAAAATCTTTAGTGACTGATATATTAATAAATTGAATGCCCCACACTGAAAAATATGCTACGAAAATACTTTCTTTACAATATCAATGCATTCTATCATTGTAAAAGTAGAATATGAACGTGATATACTTAGAAAATCAGCAATTCAAGATTACAGTTCATAATGTCTAGTTATGATCGTGTTTCAACGAACTAGTTAAGAAGGATACTGAAACTTAAATAGATCATAGTATTCTTCGACGTCAATGAGAACAGTATTTTATTGCCAGTAATAAATAAAGAACTACTATGATGTAAATAATAGAGAATCATCCGATTTCATAGGAAATCGAAATTTTTATTCGAAATAAATAATCGATTGATTTTTATTATCCATATTTCAGGTCATATTCCAATTCATCCGAGTGCATGTGATCATCTTGATCTATTATGGAATTATAAGGAAGTATTAGATCTTTTATGGATATTTGATCGTACTGTTCTCGCCTATATTGCTGGCCATGATCATGATGGTGGCTATTTTCGTGATCGAAAAAATATTCATCATTTAACATTACCTGCGATAGTCGAATGTGATCCAAACACAAATTCTTTTGCAACCGTACATGTCTATAAAGATTGTCTACTAATCGAAGGTGTTGGTCGTGTCGCTACCTATAAAATTGATTGTCAATTGTAAAACAAGTTTAATAATGCAAAGAATTTAATATACTTTCATTTATATGAAAATGATATTATTTTATCTAATTTGCTTCCGTTTTAGATTAGCTTTTTTTATTTAATAGAAACTATGCGTTTATATAATCGTGTAGTGCTAATGCATCGTAAGCAAATTTGGCAACCATGGGTTTCACAAGTAAGATTTTCTTTTATTTATGTTTTTTTTTCTTCTTATCAATACTTTTTCGTTTGTAATATAGGGCCGTTCAACTCTCAATTATGCGATGGAACATATTCCTCACGTAGTTCTAGGAGTTCCTTTTGCAGTTTTTTGTAAGTATTTAATCTTTACCAGAAAAACATCCATGTAGTGAAAAATGATACTATGCTATTTTTTTTTCAGTCATGGTAGTTATTGCTAGTAAAGAAATTTATAAAGCAAATGCTTATCAATTTAATGTCTATAAACGACGTCTTATGGGTGCGTAATAGGAAAAGATTTTAATTTAAGACTTAATGCTTTTTTTGTAAATTTATAGTTCGTCGACCAGAAGATATACCTATTGAATATCGACCATTCTGCAGTTAAACAACATCTGGATGATAAAACAACTTTTTTTCCTTCTTTTTTGTTTCCTTTTCCCCGTATCATCCATTAGTAGAGTATCGTGTAAATTTTGATTTTCTTTTGAAAAAGAGAAGAAAAACAACGCGATTTTGTAATTCTATCATTTAGAAAGTCATTTTCATGCGTTTTAATTTTGATACTATCATACATATTGATCTGCTTTAAAATGACTTCATCTATCTATCGTTAATTGAATGTGGCCGAATAACATAAATATAGTCACCGCCGAAGAATATATATATACATGTGTATCTCGTGAACAATTGTGCAAATATGAAATGTTATTATCGTTCTAATTACAAAGCTCATTGATAGACACATTATGAATGAGCATACTCTAGACCCATAAAAGCATATAATTCATCATCTCTTTTTTTTTCTTTTATTATTTACACTGAAACTGACTCGTATAATAATATAAATTAATGAAAAGAGTCAAAAACGATTTCAATAAACGACGATCAATGAAGGTTAAAATTTGTTGTCACTTCACTTATAAAAGAACGATAATTTTTATTTGCAAAGAAAACAATTTATGACTAAGATGGAATGAAAACGAAAAACACAAATAAATCTACTTTTAATACCAAGGAGATTCGTAAAAATGCCATAGGTAACAGACACGCCATAGGAGCCCTACTAAGTAAATCAAACAACAACGAAATACACAAGAGAAATATGTCTAGAATTTATGTCGCATTTTTCTTTTCTTTTCTTCTCATGGATATTTTTCGCATTCTCTTCAAAGAATGTCTTCTTCATGTTCAAAACAACTGATCGATCATCGAAGCAGAAGAAGATTGATGATCGAAGGGAGTCAATTAAAAACAGCGGTGGAGAGACCAACCTCATTGTTGACCGTCGGTCAGCATTTAAACAAGAAAAAAGAAAAGAACGAGAATATAAACGTCATTCATTATCGATCTACCTCAACAAGCGTATTGTGCCGGAGAACAAAGTTGATATTTGTATTGTTGTTGATGTCAATACAAAAATATTTGCTTGTTACGGATAGAAAATATATGTTCTCTTCTCATAGTAGTAGTCGATGTCTATGAACAACTACGTAGAGATAAATGTTAGTCATATGTTAGTTACAAACATACATATTACAAAAGTAAACAATATACATTCAACATATGTTTTCTATGAAGATGTGACAAAAACGTTTTTGTATATGATTGAGTTCAATTGAAATGCTTGTTTCGTATAAAAATTACTCATCGGATGTGTACTGATTTGATCAGTTTATATGATGCGTTTGTAATTCATTCAAGATGAAGACTTTTTCATCCAGATTTTGTTTCAAACAAATTTCTTTGACTTATTTCGATACAATAGATAGATAACAAAAATTGCATCTGTCCATACACATATTCATCATTGGTTCAAATTGATCATGAATGGAAGAAGAAAAATGCATGTCAAGTTAACAAGAAAAATTATACATACATCATCCAGTAATGAATATCGTCTATCATCAAGCTTCTTTTTCTTGCTCCGTCTTTCTCTCTCTCCTATTATTGACGGATATATAATAAGATGGCTACAGCAAGAACAGTAGGAAATATAATTGAACTCGTATATGTGTATATTTATAGTTGCCTTGGCAGTTGAAGATTTAGTTTAATTCCTCCATCAAATTTGTAACGATCGTATTTCTTCGCTTTTTCTTTCTTTAAATATATATCATACACACACACACATATATACATATACACTTTCTGTTGACTAAATTCTTGACCGTTTGTCACGTCGCATATCCCTATCGCTAGTTGAGTGAGTAAGAGTGGGAAGAAGTGAGTGAATTTGCACGTATATACATATACATACCATTTTTTCCTTTTTTTTTTCATTTCAATACAACAGCAATAAGCATAATAAACTGAAATAAAGAGACAATTGAAATCCCGAGCATCATGCACAAAAGCAAAGTCGTAAGTCATGTTAAGTTTTGTACTATTTATTTTGATTTCATTTATCCGTGAATAAACGTTGTTATGCGATGGGTCAATCTAGTCTAGTATTAATAGTTGTCGTAGACACATCACACATTGGTTCAAAAAAGAAAAGTATGGTCTCGTCTAATTATTTTATGCTTGTACAACAGATGAATGTAAATAAGACTCGTTGTTCACGACGATGGATGATGGGAACGAGAAGTAGCAAAAGCTATCTTCGATAATCAGAATCATCTGTGTACACTAATATATAGGAAAGAAGAATGATTTTTCGCGTTTGAACAATTCTCTTTTTCTCTCTCGCACATCGTCTTTCATATGATTTGATGAAACATTTCATACATGTAAAGAACAAAAAAAATAATGTTCTCTCTGTCTCTCGAGGACATAGAAAAAAGAGAATAAGAAGAAAAACGACTATAGATGGTCAGTGTGCATAATTGCTGACATAGAAGTAAGTGCTCATCAAGAAACATAAGCAATTCGAAAAAAAACGAAATCCTTTTCTGTTTTTCTTTTGAACGAAAAAAGAACATTCATTTTATTTCAAGGTAAATACAAAACGTGAACACGGTTCATCAAATAATAAAAGTCAGAACAATCGCAACACATCTAAGCAACCATTGAAAACAGACTCGTTTCTTACACTTGGCGCTTTAGTAACCGGTTTTACAAGTTCACCAACAACTATGGCCGATGAAATAAATCAAGCGGACGCATTAATTATAAAACCTGCAACAATCGACATCAATGGCAAATCAGATCTCGATACATCATTATCGAAATCTCTTCGCATAAAAACTCCTTGTGAAAATAAAAATGAACATGAAATACTTGATGAACAAAATAGTATATCATCATCATCAAATATTGATCATGGTGTTGACAGCGGTCTATCATCAGAAGTAACATATACAGAAGCCGAAAAAATAAATGGCGATGATGAATCAAGTTCAACTAGTGTTGTATCATCAACAAATCTTCAACGTGAAACAAGTCCAACAAGTGGTGTTATTATTCCCGAGGAAAAACGTGTTACTGATCGTGTTAAAGTTTTCGAAGCTGTTGCGAATAATAATGACAATCAAATAACAAAGAACGGTAGTACAAAAAAGAAATCGATAACATCAGCAAGTTTTTCTACGGCTGATCATAAGCAAATCTCATCGTCATCATCAATAGAAACTTCCGATTCACAATCTATTACTGAAATGAAACCAGCAAAATCAAAATCAAAAAAATCATCATTAAAAAAGCAAATACAAAATTTACTTAAAATTGATAAATCGCCAATACACGATGAATTAAGTCCTCTAGAAGAACAGCTCAATGGAAAAAAAAATAAAAAAGACAACAGTAATAAGAATTTTAAAAAAGAACTTCTATTTTTTTTTCGCAACCTTATTTTTAGATTCAATATCAACATCTACATTTAAGCATCAATCATCACCGAAAAGTGCTATTGAACCACTTGAAATACAAATTCCACCGGCAAAAGTTAACGAAGAAAATTCTTCATCAACAAATGTATCTAAATTAATCAATACATTTCAAACAAATGAAATGGAACAAATCATCGCAGCCGTAACAAAATCGAACACCTCTCCTCTTCAATCAGGAAATGTAAGTTCGCTGAAAAATTACATTCGATTCATTTGTTCTTTATTCATATTGATCTGATATAGAACAGTTTTTTTATTGATTCTTCTTTTGATCTTGTCTTGTGTATTTATATGTATGAATGAGTAAACTCTTATTTAGTTCGGCTTGAATGAATTTTCTTTTCGATCTATACATATAGATACATACACGAATAGTTTACTCTGCTTATGATGATAAATGATTGACGTGTTGCTTTATCTCAATTGACATGCCACAGGCGCGAAATGTATTATTTCTTAAGAGTAAAAGTACATTTAAGTGGTCTTCAATTTCATTTTTTTTTCTTCTTCTTTTTTTCTAAAACTAAATCATATACCCGAAAGCTTATGCTATTGTCGTTTAAGAAGATACTAATCTTTTTGAATGAATGTTGATGTCAGTAATGAATAGTTCTAAGTTTTATCTGTAATCGAATCTGGGTTCATTATTTCATTTTCTTAAATATTAATGTCTTGCACTCGTCTTCTCTTTCGTTCTCTCTGTGTTAATTAAAATTTCTATGTCATCTTACGTTTTGTATATACAGAGAGAAGCAAAAAGGTTTCTATTGTTGTTTTTGAGTCTTCATATTCATAAGATTCAATCAATAGAATAGTTTACTTTTTCTTCTTCTTTATACAATATTGTCAACATAGATCAATGAGGAAATTCTTCGGATCCAACTTCAACTCTTTCTTGTCTGTTTTTCATATATACATATATATATATATATATATATATATATGTATATATGTATATCAATAAGGTGAATGTTTATATAGTAGCTGCAATTCTTCATTTTCTTTCAATTCTTAGGAGTTTTTAATGAGATTTATGATTAACAAAAAGAAGAAGGTGTACACATATTGAACTTGATGATGATCTGTGCATGTCACAGCGTGCAAATGAACACGCCCTCCTTTTTTTTGTCCGATATATATTTACTGGGTCTTTTCATGTCAACGATTGGAGTAGTAGTACTATTGACGGTGTGTCGTTGCGTAAAATCGTTTGATATGTAATTGACTATAGGACTATATCCTTTGTGTATTTAAGAGAAATATTATTGTTCAAAGTCGAAATATTTGCTCTTAGCAATAGACAAGAGAATAAAAAAAAGAATGAATCGGGCGTAAGGCGACATGTAGCGACCGAGAAAATTAGACTTGAACATAAAGTGCATTGACGCATAGAAAAGAGATGATGATGGCTAGAGGATATATATATATATATTCGTAAACATATGTATAGATATAGATATAAAAAGCTCAAAATAATTCTCGTTCTTTTCTTTCCTCATTTGCACTCAATATCATTGAACACTAGCAAGTCTTTTAATGAATGATGATAACTAATAAAAAAAAGGGTGTTATCAAATGTCACTCTTCACTGATTAGATTGTGATACTCATTGACGACGGTGACCAATATAGAATGATATGATAGGATATGAATGTATATCTAGATCGAAATACGTATATATATATATAGATATATGAATGAGCATGATGAGTTACTTGGTTGAAGGTCAATATCAAAATTGAAGATAGACCCGTTATACAAAGCATTGATACTGATCATCGTAGGATGAGCAAACGAGAAAAAAAAACGAAAAAAAGAAGGCCACTTATTTTGTATGATGGGGACATACACAACTATGTACGATTGCAAAAAAAAAACGAACATCGTGATAAGCGTCTTTCTGGTACGACTGCTATTTGAAATTTGAGCTGTATAGAAGCAAGCGTGCCTTCATCGATGGTGAGTTTTACATAAAATAAAACTGGCGTAACAGTCGGTCGTATTTAGTTTTTGAACAACCTTGTAAAAATTGATGCTACACGTTTGTTTTGTTCTGTTGTAATTAACTTTTAAATTGATGTTGCTATCATCATTGACAGAAATCATCAACATAGTGAAACAAAAGGAAAGGTAGATATTTACTTAATGACATCAATGTAATTTCCATTTACGTAATACTTATTTCTAACAGGTGTCAAAAGGACATGTTAATTGTTCAGACAAAGAGTAGGTTAGTGACCATTCTAGGGACTTATACATAATCTTCTATTTATCTTTGATTTTATGTCCATCTGAACAAATAAGAGAAGTGGTGTAAGCTTCAAAAAGAAAAAGAAAAGGTTCTCTTAGCCTTCTAATATTAAAATATGCAAAAAATAATACTGATTGTTGTTTTCTTTTCCAATAACAAAATTCTTCGGTGACATATTTCTCGGTGCCTGCGTATAATGCGGTTTTCTCTTATAAAAATCACAATTTTTCTCTTCTCTTCTTTTTTTTACTATTGACACAAACGAAGTAAGAAATAAAACAAAAACGTAAGATATATATAGAAGTTCACCTTGACAGTGTATTAAATAAAATATAAACAAGGTAAGACACAATTGAAAAAATCAATGCTGAAGTTTGACTCTTTTAAACTAATACTGAAACAACAGTAACATACCAGCAAAGGTGTGAAGTATTTTGTAAGTTCTTCGAGAATATTGGTTTAAGATCTATTTTTATAGTATTAACATTTTTTTATATCCTTTTCGTTCACATTTCCTTTTTTAATGTATATGAAATTGTACTTGGCAAAAGTATCGTTTTCAAAGTTCAAAACGATTATACTTAATGAGAGTAAGTGAGAAAGCAAAAAATCGATGGGTGGATAAATGTAAAGTATAGGTGTTGTCATAAGGATCATCCATCAGACAAAAATGGACAGATAGACATGCTATATACGTCTAAGTAACACCAAATCAAATAGGTTTCATTCAATTAGTCATCGCCGAACAGGACAATTCGTTTTATTCTATTATTTATCATATCTCTCGATAATGAACAACGATAATAGAGAACATTATTCAGGTAGATGTATTTTCTTCTTCTTCTTCTTCTTCTTCTTTGTTTTCTCAGTATTCTTGTATAAAAGAGATTTCTATTAGACTCTTATACTTGAAGAAGTCATAATATTCTATATCAAATATATGTAGATTCATCGATGTATGATTACCATAGCAGAAATAATAACACCAGACAAAATCTCTAGCTACTAGTCGAAATAAATATATAAAATCCAGCTGACGACCTTCTGTTAATATATATATATAGGCAATTCTTGAATCGATAGGTTTCTTTCTATGTTGTTCGGATGATGTATGTCCTTGGTACCGTGAATAGGGGAACCGATCATAGAAAAAACGAAGCAATCAAAATATGTGAACATTTTGATTTGTTATCGCATATCTTGATTGTTAAAAAGAAAAAAAAGTAAAAAGAAGTTCTTTTATTTCAACCATTTATTGAAATCAAACCGCACAACAACGTTCTTCTCATCTTCGCCTTTTTTTTTCATTCTCGGACAATAAGAAAGAGAGTCTATTGTAAGGCAAAATAACAACCATGGCTGCTGACGATGATGATCTTGATAGAAATACGATGAATGATTGGTCTTCATCATCGTGGCCTGTTATTACATTATCAACTATCGGTAGAGAAGCAGAAGAAGAATCTGAAAAGCAAATAAAGACAAATGTTAATAATCAGGTAGTTTTTTTTAATATTCCTTTCTTTTTCGGCTTAAGATAATATGTCATTCGTTTTTAGTAGATCAAAAATAACATATCGAATTGTTAATATTGGGAAGATTAATTTTTTTTCATTTTTCTTCTATTTTTCTTTCTTAGCAGAAGAAAAAGAGCGAGAAAGTTTTAGCAGTTTCAACGGTGACTTTGCGAGTCTTTGTTTTAGTTATTTTTCGTTTTCTTTTGACTTTGACTGAGAGTCAAGTAATAATTAACAATATGATTTCCTTATGTATGTATATTCAACATAGATTAAAGATCTTTGCTCGTTATACGCATATTGCAAATCACCTGTGCTTCAGGGGTTATTCGATAGATGTAGGATGTCAAACAATCAAGCATATAGAGACAGACATCAATTGTTAGATAGAGAGAAAAATCAGAGACAACGGTCCCGATTATTATCGAGATAAGAGAAAAAAACAACACAAGACGATACCGAGCAGCAGATAGGCAACAAGAAATAAATGAATATTTAATTTTAGAACCTACTCATCTTTGTTATTGTTATTGTTCTAATAATCGGGGTTGGTATTGAATTAGCCTTCCAACATGACAGTATAGACTCAGGTGTCGTTTTCTTTATTTTCTGGTTTTTGCACGTTAATTCTTCATCGGTATATTATCATTGCTGTTACCATGTAAAATATTAGCAGTTCTCAATGATTTTTGTCACATTCTCATGTTTTTTTTCTCATATACTACCGTACGTGCTTATTATGATTTCTTCTAAGCATTTATGAAGAGATTTAAACTTTTACTCTTCTTTTCTTCTTTCTCGGTCAATTCTATGCATACAGAAAATATCAATTATAAGCCTATTATCGTTTTGAACATTCTCTGTTTGTTGATGAACGTTAAAGACAGTGAAACTTTTAAGGCGTCTCGTCTCGTCATATATTTTTATTAATTTTACTCATTCTTATTTTAGCTAACGTCATCATCATCATCAACGGGAGCGTCCCAATTTGATACATCGATTAATACTAGTGCTGATATTTTATCACAAAATAGTCCAGTAACAAGTGTTCCGCCTATAACCACACATAGTCCAATGTTGTCCGGTGTTGGTGATTCAATAAAAACATCGATACGATCTGTTTCAGTTGAAACAACGACTCGTAATCGATCACCTGTACATCGCTATGGTATAAATGAAACAGGCAATAATTCATCTCATTCATCACTATATCAATCAACAAATACACAAGTAACTGGTAATTTACGTGTACAACATCAACGTGAAAAACAAGAATTATCAGATTTAAATGATCGATTTCGTGGTTATCTTGATCGTGTTAAAATTCTTGAAATAAAAAATTCAAAATTAACTAGCCAACTTGAAGATATAACAAAAGCATGGGGTGCAGCATCTCAGGGAATAATTTCTCAATATTCTGGATCACTTGATCGTCTTCGACAAGAAGTTAATGAATGTATGCTTGATGAAGCTGATTTCCAAACACGTTTACGTCGTTCACATCACAATATTGATAATTATCGTAGACTTATTCATGATGAAGCAACATGGAACGATCGACAAGAAGGAAAACGTGAGCAATTAAAGTTAGAATTTGAACATTCATGCGCCGAATTATCTGCTTTACAAAAATCTTACATGCAAGTTGAAGAACAATTAAAAAATTTACTTCAACAACGTGATGACTATATTAATGAAATTAGTCAACTTAATGAACAATCATATAAAGCAACTATGGATAGAATTAAATCTGATTTACAAGTTCAAACACTCCGTGAAGAAATTCCTTTTCTCAATGATGTTCATACACATTTAATTAAGTAAGAATATTCACGTATAAATACATATATATATATATTGACGAGCTTGAATTTTCTATTCATTCTAAATTAGAAAACTTTTTGTTTTTTGATTTAGTGAATTTGAACAATTAAAACCAACGAATGGTATTGATGCACAATTATTCTATCGTCAAGAATTAGAAAAGGCTATACGTGATATTCGCCGTGATTTTGAAACATTAAGTTCAGCACAACGTAAAGAAATGGAAGATTATTATCATGTTAAAATTGAAGAAATGCAAAATGATGCTAAAAGACTTCTACCATCACAATCACGACAAGATGATCTTACGAAAATTTCCGAACAAATTAAATCAACAAAATTCGAAATCAACGATACACAAAAGACATTAATTAATGAAAAAGATAAATTCAAAGAATTACAAGATCGTCTAGCTAAATTAGAAGAAGAATACAGTTATGTGTGTAATCAACGTGGTGCTGGTTATGATAATACTGCTAAAGAATTAATGGGTGCACAAGAACGTGTAGAACAATTAACTGAAGAAATCGATACAATTTTACGAAGGTAACTGATTTAAGAAAAGAAAAGAGAAGAGAAAAATTTTAGCTGATTATTTAAAAAAACATTAAATGGTACTCTTTTCTGTTTTTAGCAATATAACACTTGAATCAGAAATCAACATATACAGGCGGCTATTAGATAGTGAAACAAATCGACTTACACAACAAACAATTGAACAAGTTTTATCACCTGAACCAGCGCCACCATCGTTTGGAAGTGAACTTGGCAAAGTTTTTAATAAGAAAATTAAGAAAGGACCCATTGCTATCAGTACGTATACTTATTGCGTGCAATCTTGTTCTATTTTTATACAAGATTTTTAGTTCGTTTGATCAAAAATTAAACGATACTTTTGTTTGTATGAGTTTGTTTCGAGTTGTCTCAAACGATCGATCAACCCTATTGTTGTACTTCTTTTGTTATTGCACGAAACTAGAAGATATTCTTTTTAAACTTAGTCTCTCAGATTTATTTATTTTTTCAGTACAAAATATAGCAAATATTTTCATATTTATTTGACCACTTCGATGCATACTGATAAGAAACTGTGGGTAACTAAAAAAACGACATACCAAACATTTCTTTTTAGATTTTATACGTATTCATAGAATTGCGTTTAATATGATAGGAATTTCTTGGTTTTCAGAACTACCTAGAAGCCGAAAGGATGAAATTGAAATCGTGACTCGAAAAGAAATGATCGTGCATATGCAAATGATTTGAAATAGTTTTGATCAATAATGTTCTGATAGCAATTCTGTGTAGGTCTTTAAGAAAATCTCATCTCACGCTAAAGAATAGTCCAATATCGATTATTGATTACAAGCTTTAGGGTTTCTTAAACATTTATTGGTTTCCAATTATAGTTTTTTTTAAATACAACAGATATTAATAGTAATGCTTTCATGCTAAGGATTCTATATATGGTGAATGAAAATTTTAATCGGATCAAGTGAAAAATTTTAATAAAACTCATTGCATCGGAAGTAAAATAACTATAACATGATTGAGCGACAACATAACTATTATACCGAGAAATTCCAGTTTCATTTTCTATATAGAAACCTACAAAACAAAAATATCACCTGGTATGATAAAGCCTCGATATTGACATCATTTTTCTTGACTACTTTTTTCGAAAACATTTCTCTGTCATGTGTTTTGTTCTTTGTAGAAGACTGTGCTCCTGATGGCAAATGTATAACATTAGAGAATACATCTAATGATAAAGATGTTGATGTATCAAATTGGACCTTGAAAAGACGTGTTGAAGGTTCATCAGAAATTTCATATACGATACCATATGGTTTAGTAATAAGACACGGTAGTGATTTGAAGATATTTGCACGTAGTGCACAAAATGGCCATCATCGACCTCCATCACAAGTTGTTAATGATAAACTTGATTCATGGGGTATGGGCACAGAATGCGAAACAAGATTTTTTAATTAACAAGGTGAAGAAAAAGCATCACATTCTCAAAAAATCGTTTTCGGTTCGGAATCATCACGTAATTTACCATAGTAAGTTTTTTTTTTTTTATGGAATCTCTCCTAGAATTTTCAATGGATCAAAAAAGGACATGACTTAGTGTTAGATAAATATGAGTGAATTTTGTTTGTTTTTATCTAGCGATATTGAATGGCCAGATCGTAAGTGAAATCTATCAATGGAAAATACTTCGGGGAGAAGCGTTTGCTTCTAATCTCGCATGAATGCATAAATTCTTCGCATGAAATATTATAAATAATTATGAATTGAAAATGTTTTTCTTCTTATAGAAATCTGACAAGAACGAATAAAAACAAATTGATTATTCAAACCACTAATAAATAAACATTTTTAAAGCGATTTTGATTTTTTTCTTTCTCTTATGTAAATAAAATATTCAAACAAAAAAAAATACAAATCATAAAATCCATTGCTTATATCTTTATCATACTTCTTATTTCTCTAGTAGTTCAATACAATGATCACTGTTTTACAGAGTTTTCTTTTTATGTTCTATCTAAAAGAATAGTTTTATCTTAGACAATAAGTTCTCTTTTCTTTTGTGTTTGTTTGTCATTTGGGATTGGTTGATTCCTTGCTTCTCTTTTTCTTTTGTTTTGTCTGTTATTAGCGAGGGATGCTGGCTGGTTAATCCCACTTTTTTTTTCATTTTTGCTTTTCTGCTATCAGTTTTATTATCGAACTTTATCACATGCGTGCTTTGTCCCTCTTCTTTTCCTTTTAAAAGAATAAAATTGATGAAGTTCAATGAATTATATTATAACTATTTTACTTCTGTGAGCACGAATGATCGTCATTTCGTTGTCAAACGATTATGCTGATCAACCACAGATGTTCTTAATTGAGAACGAATATTACTGATACACGTAGCATTTCGTAGTAATACTAACTTGGATAGTCTTATTGCTAGCATCTATTGACAGAATTTTCTTCGTCGATCATCGATCTAATTTATCGGTCAAAGAAAAGTTTATCACGTTCGAAAATAATTGACATTTCGGTTCAAACTTGTCAGTAACCGGTCAAAAGTATGAAATCATTGATATGAAAACATCGTTATGAATGCAACGTTGATTGTGAACAAGCGATTGAAGCTTGATTATAGCGTCTCGAGTTCGAGTGAATGTTGACAGATGAGTCGGACCCTTTTACCTATTCAACCGACACTTTCAAATTATCTATCGACCTCTAGGCGCACCCATCCATCTGAATTGTAATTCATATGTTAAGAAAAGGTCAATCGATTAGTTTCAATAATTTTAACGCACAAATATCTGGCAATAGATCTGGACAAATATTGGCACGAAATTTGATGTAGTTACAGTTAAAAACAATATTCAAAAAATTCATTTCTAGTTGTTAAAAGCAACATATTTTAATGATTTATTTTTAACATTTCTTAATACTATGTTAAGATGAAAAAATATATACAATCAATTTAATGGAGAAAAAAGAACATAATTGATATTAGCGAAATAATTCCATATATACAATAGACATATACTAACAAATTTGCCTTCATCAAATATTAATGCAATGTATAGTTATATGTATGTATGTTCTTTTTTTCTTTCTTTAGATGCTATTGTGATCTTAACCAGATGATATTAGGTTTGGCAAGACAGTAAGACTGATAACAAAGACAGAGTAGCTATGTATTTTCTTTATGTCCCACTATCATATGGTTAATGTCATCATAATTTCTAATGAAGGATACGAGAATATATTTATATCTAACCATAAATCTCCCTAATTGTTAATGAAGACAGCATTATTTGCACATTTAATTGTAGCTTTAGTTATTTCAATATACGTATTCATTTGTATGTTTGTATTATCAATTAATTGATCGTAACTTAATACTCAGTTTAAAATCAAATCAATTATCATATTAATGAAATTGAAAGGAGTGAGAACGAGTAAAATCGCTCTCAAAACTGTTCGAACTAGAAAATACATCTACCATTATTGTGAACCAAATAACTTCATTTAAATTGAATTAGTTTCATTTGCTGAAATATCACGTTAATGTATACTAATGTCAAAAACATTTTTCGATTGAAAAGATGTAAAGTCAAAAGAATCGTACTGAACACTACAGAGACTCGAATGCACTGTTTGAATAAAGAAAATTCAGCTCAGCTAGCAAACAGTTGAAAGCATTTTAGAAAATGGCAAATATAAATAAAGCATAATATTTTTCGATCATAGGATTTTTGCTCTAGACAATCATTATTTATTTACTTTTACTATATAAGAACTAGATCAATCACTACAAATTACGGTCAAAATGACTTTTCGATTTAAATTTCGATTTATTCTTATTGTTCTTTTTTTTTTTATAAATAATGCAAAAATCATTTTGAAATATCATTTGAAGTCAAAATCATCTTAGCAAAAATATGCGTACAAACAGAACCACTACTGTTTATTGATGACGTTTTTAATCAGTGGGAATGGAAAAAGCGGTAAGACGTTGGATGTTGATTGATTTATCAGAACAATTCGATGTACTTATTATGAAATATTTGTCAGATGTCATTTGACTAGATTTAAGTAAACAAGAGTTTAGTTCTTGATAGAATATCAAATAAAACATTATTGATGCATAGAAAAATTTAGTTATTAAAAATGTTGAAAAATGATAGATAGCATTCTAAAACAGTAATCATTCAAAAACCAGATCTTTACGTCATCAAGTTCGATTACTCACATTTATATAAATGTCATTTTGACAGTCTTATGAAGCATTAATGCCTTTTGTTGCGGCTTTTTTCTCAAAATAAAACACGTGTCAATTGAAAATAATTAATTAAAACTAGTAAAATAACCATTGGACTATAGTACTCATATGCATTTAATAAGATTTGATTTCTTCATGATCAATACCATCGTTACTCTAAAACACCATAGATTTTCATCAACTAACTTGATACGATTTTGCCACACTTATTAACGATTTACTGACTGAGTTAAACATTTTTGAATTCAAGCCAATATGATTATTCATCGGTCAAAACTCATTCTCTATTCTTTTTTCACAAGAAACTTCAGTTTGAAATGTTTTTCGTTAGCGCACAAAGTGATGACTGTGTACTATGATAAAGATCTTATTCAACTTTTAAATAAAGTGATAAATTCAGAAGAATTGAATTTATACTTCGCGAATGATTGTAGACCGATAGTTGATGATGATAATTTAGAAAAAAAAATGTTATAAAGCTTATGACAAGATTAGACAAATTTACATTTAATATTCGTTCAGTTATTCCTCTAAATGTACTAATTAGTTTACCATCAGACGAAGATGTTCAACACACATTTTGAAATATTAAATTTAATAGAACTATACATCATGTGTTGACTATTTTACACAATCAAATTTATTCCATTGTCATGTGTATTCATATCCATATATATCGACGTGCTATGATAATATATCGAATAATTTCCCTGGTGAACTATACAAATGTGTTTATAAAATATCATTACATAATGAATGTTCATTTCCCCAGCATGACGATTACGGAGCAGGAACCAAAATCTTACATGAACGTTTCCGATCGTGCTTCTTCGACCTGGATACTCTTAATCTTGTTGAAACTCATGGAAATTATCTAGAACAAATTTTGAATTAATGTCAAAATATATTTATTAGCTATTGGTTATTTTTGTGTGGCTTATGGTTGTTTACAAAAAACAATGGACGATTTTACAAGAGATGCAGTACAACTTAATTATTCCAAAATCATCGTCTACAGTTCGACGAAAACAAAGCTTTGTTTCAAAATTAAAAGATTATTTGTTTCATGTAAAAATATATTGATTGTTTTGATGTCGAGTTTGAAGAAAATTTGAAATAGGAAGAAAATAAAACTTGATATTTCATATAAAATCGATAAAATTAAAGTATTTGTCAAAATAATTGGATATAACAAGATACGACCTATTTAAATATTGGAAAAAATTATCTACATTTAAAGTTGCCACTCAATTTGACATTGGTAGAACAGATCATTTTCGATTCAGTAATGTTTTTGCTTTTGTGCATGTTAATTATATATTGCGTGTTTGAAGAGAGGATTCACGAGAAAACGCATCGACATATACACGAGTCTGTATATGTAAAGGTTTGTTGTTGGAATAAGATATATCATTCGAAAGCCCATGAAGAGTGATTCCTAAATTGTAATCTTTAACTTTCTCGGAAAAGTCTATCAAGAAATATGAAGAGACCTTTCAATCCGTCCTCATGTAACATGGTGGGAATTAGACGAATTTTAAAGAATTCGATTTAAATCTTTACATTAACATATTTCACTTGTGAACATCTCATTTTTCTTGGATTATTCGATGTATCTTTATTATATATATTAAATACACTATCATAGAACAAGATTATCAAGTATAAACTCTACTGCATCTGTTCTTTCATCAAAAAGTTGCCCTAAAAGTATACGAGTACCAGTTGTTTCCGAAGTTCTTTTATTATAGCCAATGATAGCCGGTGAAAAACTACATGATTCTATGCATGACTCAGTGGAAAAGCATTTGGTACATTTAATTCATTTTTCAGTACGAACGATGGCCAGTATATGAGCGAAGAGGTGTGCCAATGATTTTGTTGGTTCTCAAAAAGAAAAATATTGATAAGCCAAATTTCACTCAGCCGATTCTGATTATTTTATTTTTATTTTATAAGTGTAGAAATGACCAGTTACTTTTGGAAAAGATCAGATTTCCATCTGTTTTACTTTATGAGATATCAGAGTACCAGTGTGTAATGCGAAATTTCTAACGTCATCTGCTCGAAGGAGATCAATATTTTTTGTATCCCATTGCAATGCTTTTTAAATGACCTTTTTTTAACAAGAAATGTGGAATTCGTCAGGTGTTTTCAGAATATATTATTGTACTTCTTCTTTTTTTCTTTAGACAAAGCTTTATGATTATGGACAGTTCACTGAAGAAATCATGTAAAAATCAATAACGAGAAAATACACAATGAGGGACATCAAATGTACGAAAAAATTTTTTTTTAAGGTGTTCTGTCTATAAAGATGTATAAGCTTTTTTTGAAGAAGCCTTGCTTCATTAAAATTAAATTGACCGCGCTGAAGTATAAATTTATTAGGTTTGCTTTTACTGTACTACTCAAAAGTATTCTTTCAACGAGTTTCCTTTCTCCGAGTAGTTCAAATTTGAATTGATTATGAATGATTGAAACGAGTCTGCAAAATACTTAGTGCTGTTCCGATCGATTCCGATCCATCAAGTATTCAAAATTTCGATGACTATCGAACTGGTTACTATTACTATTGAAACGGAATGAAGAAAAAAGATATGTTTGAAGTGCTCTAGTATTTATCATAACTATGATTTGCTTTTTAAAATCTCAGTGAAATTTTCTCTAACTATTATCTGTTGATTCTGATCAAGTCAGCCCTTCATGAGATGGAATTGTTCAAAATATACATTAAAGAAGCCAACTCATTTTGTATTCAATTTAAGAAGTACAAAACAGTAAATTCTATATAGTATAAAATTCAGGGAAACATTTTATTTCACTACTTCTGCAGCATTACACTCATTAAAAAGAGTTTGAAAGTATGCATCTCTAGTTTCTCAGACTAAAGCATTACGATTGTTTTTATTCTACATATGCATAATATATAGAAACTATGGTATAACATGTTTCTGAAGAAGATATAGATAATGAAAGTAATTATTTGCAATGGTATCACTTCAGCAGACTAGTGTTCATACAATGAATTTCAAAAGTATTATTTTATGTAATCATCTACAAACAAAATTTTCTCATAGTAGTGCATGAAACAAGAATGACACGATCTATTTTTTACTGTGTAACATTAAGAAGTATTTTTTACTTTATTTATGTTAATGGGCACGAATCCATCACGAATATTACCTTCATGTTGATTGGAAAAAAACTAGTTATCTAACACTGATATTTTCGAATTAGACATCCTCACTTTGCTAGCTTTACTATCGAGTGTGCTGATCAACAATTTCACTTCGTATCCTTATTCATTAAAGTCATAAGTAGAAATCTAAATTGTATAAATTTTGATCGTAACTAATCTTTTGAAACGTATTTATAACCAATTTCAGTGTAATAGTGTGTGCACATTATTTCTTTATCGCTCTTCATGAGTTAGCACGGCTAGTGAAGTTTATTATAATTACTGACTTCCGTCTATATCAGGTATGCGCCTGCCATCATTTATTCTTCTGTTCTGCATAGAGTAGCAAGTATTTACCTTGACTTACGAGAACATAATGAATGCTTTTTCAATTCTCTCACGCTACCCGTCGTTTGTGTTACCGCCGTGCAGCATTTTTTTAAATTCATTCGCTTATTTTTATTTATAGCCGTGTTTTATTATTAAGCAGGCAGAGCAAGAAAAAAAAGCGACACAATATACGTGCGCTTCAAAATAGTTGTGCTCATATAAGAAGTAAGCCAACATTAACTTCATACATTTATTTAAAGTTGATATAAAACAGATGTGCTTTATAGTGACTAAGAGTACCATCTAAATTTCCCTACTACTTGTATTGAAAGTGATTGATGCCAGAAAAGAATACAAACTAGATGAACTGCTTTTCAGCTCGTCAGTTTTATTCTTATTTGAGCACAATGTCAATATTACCATTGTTCAAATATAGTCGAAAGTATCTTATTTAACAGGTAAAATTACATTCAATACGTAAATTCGAGTATGTCTTATTTGCAGATAAAAATATTACGTAAAACAATACACGAAAAATATTTTATAAATGATGATTTTCTATAAAAATAACATCAATTTTGTTTCTGCTCTATCAAACACATCAATTAAATTAGGGTGATTATCATTTCAGTTTTATTTGGTTTAGTCAAGATGTGAAAAAAATAAATTCAATTCGAATGCTTGATAGTTATAGCAAAGAAAAATATTAATAATTGATTATAGATAATACAGCTCAGTGTGTAATCAATTGAAAGAAATTGTGGCAAAAAAATCTTATCAGTATTTTTTTGTTTCTGAAACATTGCTATCTAGCTCAAATACAAAGTCCGTAATTTAACAACTCATATAAATAATTCATATGTTATTAATAATAATGATTTGATTTTTAATGATTTTTTTTTGTTTACGTAGAATTTAATCAGACGAAAAGAAAACACTATGATAACATAGCTATGAATCATTTATTAACAATAAATATTCTCCCCAATGAAATATTAGTTCCTTATAGGATTATCGATCGATTTTTTTTATTCTTATTTTATGAATAATGTATTAAAAGAATAGTTTATCTGAACTACTCTTATAATATTAATGATGGGAGCATCGAAGAAATAATGGATTTAATCGAATATTTTTTGTTGTGATTTAATTATCCAAAATCTAATCAAAGTATTCATGAAAACACGATCTTTTTTATCCAATTTTGCGGTTATATATGTACTCTGCTAATAAACCTATCAGACTTATCAGTAATGAAACAAAATGACAGTTGACGTCTGTGACCTTCTCTAACAGAGGCAAATGAATATGTCATGAGTGTTTTTTCTGTGAAAATTTTCTGTTTACTAAGAGTTTTCAATGTTTATGTGACAAATGACAAGGATGCAAAAAATATATTATTCATTTTCGGATAAATACTTTTTTAGAACTATCAATAAAATATTTCAAATATAAAAACACGATATTCTGCTCAGTTCAGTTTTCTGAATTATCAATGAGAGGAAGAAATTAAGGATCGTATGTCCACAAGTATTATTTTCAATTGGATACACACTTGTGTTCTACTTTAGGATTGTATGAGAACTGAAAATGATAAAGAAACAGAATAGAATAGAAAATAATAGAACAACAACGATGCTAACACTATTTCTGCATACTGGTTGGATAGTTTATTCTGAGAGATGGATCCGAGATTCTAGAGAAAAGCAAAAAAAAATTGTCTCTCTTTTTTTTTGCATTAGAACATAGAATTGCAACGATCATAAACTATCACATCTATTGCTTTCTACTATTTGTATTTTATCTTAAGACGAATAGTTCATATAGTAAATAATAGAGATTCATTGTTGAACTTTTAAAAAGATTGACTCTAGATGAATCAATCAACTACGTTTTGGAATGAAAAAATGAAACATCTCTTTAATCTTTATGGTAATTATGCAAAAACCAACTTCATCAGTTTTATTTTAAATTGCAATTGTATTTATTTAGATGCTGATCATGATGGTTCAATAACTCCAGCAGATTTTGAAATACTTGCTGATAAACTTTCAGCACTTGTTGGACAAGATGATGGGGAACGACGTGAACAATATGCAAATGCACGTAAAACTCTTTGTCAAGAAATAATGAGAGCCGATGCCAATCAAGATGGAAAAGTAACATTGGGTAAATAGTTGAAAATTTAATGTTATTCTGTTTTCAAATGAAATTCTCCAATGTTTTGTTTCTAGAAGAATGGATTGACTTTCATCAGCATCTTGCAAAAGAATTACAAAAGCCTGATACAAGCCCTGAAATTTTAGAGCAATTATCTGAACGTATGAACACAACATTTCATATGCTTGATTTAAATCATGATGGTTATATCGCAAAAGATGAATGGGTTAAAACATGTCAATTTTTTGGCGTTGATCAAACAACAGCCGAGAGGTCTTTTCAACAATTAAGTAAAGATGATAAACTAGAAGAAGATAAAGCGAAACATCTTTTTTTCGAATATCTCAAATCAGATGATCCTAATCATATATCTAATTGTTGTTTATGCTTTCTGTAATTAAAACTAAGTATTAGAACTTGACGCGATTCGAGATTTAGATGTTGTGCTTTTGGTGTATTGTAATTATGTCGTCTTTTTCTTTTTCTTATCCTTGGCTATTCGTATTGGTCCATATTTGTAAACCGCACAAGCAATAACAATTGAAGTATTAAGAATTAAACTAACAAATAAATATATAATCATAATTTTATCGTATGTTTCAGCAAAATTTGTGAGTATTCGAGCTAAAATAATAATTATTTGTGTTTAAGAAAACGAAAGCCGATATATTAGGCATGACCTACCAACATTATTGAAAGCAGCCATTTTTGCAACAGATCGATTAACTTGACTACCATCTTTATTGGTAATAATAGTTTTGAGTTGAACTATTTTTGATGAAGCAGTTATTGGAATTACAAATATCTTATGAATATAGATAGTAAAAATATTGATTATTATTAAAAATTAGAAATTTTTACTGTAAGAAACCGCATCCATGCTGCCGGTACAAGACCGATGTAGCTTATCAGTAGATAGAAACAGAATCTATGAAAATTTCATTAATATATGTTATAGTCTGACATTAAATTCTTACGTAGCGATTGCATATAATGGAATCGATCGATTATTGAATTTTTCTTTTTCGTTTGAATCATATGTAGAATATTTTGATAAGGCCAATAGAATAAGTAAATCTATAATATTTCATGAGAAATTCAAAATTCATTATTCATTTTTTTCTTCTTCCTACTTTGTATGAAAAGAACAAAATATTCACAGTATGCTAATAATGGATATTGTTGCCAAATGTTATAAGTTAACAAAAATGTATAACTAAATTTAATAATAAGAAATGGCTCGTTTACTTCAGTTTTCTTTTTAAATATTGATATGATCTTACGCTGTTTCTTCTAGTAATACAGATGATATTGAAAGATTTTCTACTTTTTTTGTTTTATAAATCCGATATATTTCTGGAGCTTTGTGTCTTAAACATTGAAAATTAATCCATAAACTAATCAATTGTAAAACGAACATTATTCCCCTTTGTAATCAAAACAAAATGTAATAACTAAATTGATCATATTCTACAGATATCTTTTTATAAGATTTTCTTATCTTGAGAAAATTTCCATCTGGATAAAAAGAACATATTTATTCTGCCTGTTTTACTGTAATGAGTTGTCTGTGAATAAGTAATATATTGGCGCGACTACAAAATGATTTATGTACATTTGTTCTGTTCTAGTTTTTCACAGAATTTCTTTAGATAGCAAAGGAAACTTTTTGTTCGCCAGACAGCATTACTAGATAATGAGTATTATTTTTGTTTTTCTTGAATAATCTACTTTTTGTTTTATTAACTACGTTCCTCGGTTAGCTCTTCTTTTTATAAGAATTAATGCTAAAATACAAAGGAATCTTTTTCAAATCAAAACATATCATAAGTGTAATACAAATGAAATGATACGTACAGTTTCATTTAATCTCAAAATATATAGTAAAAATTCAAATTCATCTTCTTTTATCTATGATGTAATATTTTATATTGTTGGGTTATCTGAATTTGAGTACTATCAGTTAATGTACAATTTTACAAAACTTCTTGTTCGTATTTGCAATTAGATGATTGTCTATTAATTGTGTTTCTACAAAATTATGTGACCTTGAAAAAACATATGGAAAATTATTTTGTCTCGAAATGATTTTTTTATCGAAAATGATAATTTCTTATTGATCAGTAGTCTGATGCTTTTTTTCCCAAGCCTTTATTCGTTGTGCAGTGAAATATAGATTTGATTGTTGTCCGAGACGATAAAATCTATTAAGAACATACAATCGACATGATTGATTCACAATTATCAAATGTAAACAATCATGCACTTTAATTTTCTGATAGGCATCCGATGTTAACTGAATCAACAAATTATCTAATGAGATTGGATTGGCTTATTTATTTGCGACTCTATAAATATTCTTACATATCGTTCTCTTGTTGATTAAATAACTATTACCTATTCATATTATATTATTAGGGCAAAATCTATGAGATTAGTTAGCATCAGGAGGCGTAAAATAAAGAATCCCATTGGAAATCTCTATTCAAAATACCAACAAATACAAATTAGCACATTTTACAGACGCGACCACAAGAGGATAGACGCGTACAGATTCGTTATGAAAGAAAACCAAAATTTTTTCGTCGATGTATTCATCGTAACAAATAGATATTTTTCTTGAAGAAATAAAATGAAAACACATATATATATATATAATCGAAACTACGTCACATTCTTCACATATCTGTGATTGCTTTTCAATGAAATTTTACAAAACTTAGTTTTCATACTATGAACATAATCTTCAATATAAATGCGCGAATAGTATTCATAAATAATTGATGAAGGATAACATATTTCAAAAAATGGAATATACATCGTAATAGATCGAATGCAAATCAAACAGAATATATTAGCTCCAATGGTACAACATAAAGTTGAAAATAGAACATGAAAAAATTCAATAATTATTTAAAAAATCTTCAAAAAACAATTGCGGAACAGCTGTTACTTATGTTTATGATATATATATTTAAAAGAGTTTTCTATTTATAAGAAATCAATCATGAATTCGAATCATTACAAAGAGATTTATTTAAAAACATGGAATAGATTCAGGAATAATTTCTATTAAATAGAAACTTTTCAACTTCGCCAAAGGCTGTATTAAAATATTGGGTGACAGAAATTGTCAGGAATAGTCGTGTACTGAAAAAAATGTGGTCAGTTTACGAAAGTGTTCATTATTGGGAAACTTTTATTTTTCTTTGATTTGTTCAAACGATATGAATTCGTGTATAATTGCTTGCTGGTATCATAAGATAACCTTTTTCTTCTCTTCAACTATTTATTAATTGTTTCAAACAATCATTCATTTTTTTTAATACCAACTAATCTTTTCTAAAATAACTTTGATTAGTGCGTTGAACAGAAATCCTTGAGTCAGGATAAATGTTTGTAAGCTTGGATTCAATTTAATTTATAGCTTAATGAAGTTAAGAGCATTGCATACCAGTCGATAAACGTAATCGGTAAACCAGCTGAATTGCTTCATTAATGTTATGTAGTGGTTCCTCATTAACTATTTCTTATTCATAATCGTCTCTTAAATATTCATTTTAACGCTTCAAAGTGTTATATACAGCACCTGTCGATATAGTATACTTGACTGTCAAGGCCCTTTATGATAAATAATGTTCAGAAACTTTTACTAACTCAACTTTTTTTTTATCGATGGTAAACTGATAAATGTTAGCATAAATTACTGAAATATTTCACTGCTGACTATTGTTATTTTCTACGAATTATTTTTAATAAAACGAGTGGTTAGTCTATCTTCTTCATATATGTTACTTCATTGTTTATTGCCGTAGAATATGCATAATAGGATTTTTTTTCCTAGTTAGTCATGCGAGTGGCAGAATACACGTTTCTTACATTATCTAAGTTATTGTCATGCATGGGACTGAAAAAAGCGCTCACTACTAAAGATAAGAAGCTGTTCACGAGTAGAGGTTTGATTGTATAGAAGACTTGATTCAACTGAAAATGTCTTTATCTAGGTTTCATTTTTGGAGGGGTTGCTGGCTAGAAAATTTCTTATCATATAGTAACGAGTGGTCCATAAAGAATGGCGGTCTCATTACTTACTCAATATCTTTTTTGCTCTTCATTGATTTGAACTGAACATTTCCCCAAAAGATTAAGCATTCAGTTCTCTACAAACCAATGTGCGAAAGATTTTTTTAAACTACAAAACGGCCAAGTAGTACTAAAACGAAGAAAAAGGGTCCAAAAATGTTCAACTTTCAAGTACCCAATCCGTTTTGTTTTGAAAATTTGCTTTCCATGTGAGGACCTACAAAAAACTGAGTCTACCATGTTAAATAGCATCAGGTTCTGGGCAAGATTCATGTCTTCGAAATTTTTTTCATCACAAAATAAGTAAAAATTTCTACATCAATTTTTTTGCTTTCTCTAAAAAACCCAACTGTCATTTCATGTTTTTGATGCTTGCCCGAAAACACATGACGTTCACTAAAAAAAGCGTTATCTTTTGACGATTTTTTTCTTTGAAAGCTAATATACTCGACTACACCCCTGTACACTTGTTCGAGTGATGCAAAGTTTTGTTTGCAGTAGGCTTTTCTTGAAAACCGGAATTAAGGCGTTATGGACGAGTTTTCAGAAAATATCGATTTAATAGGCGAAGACCACTTTTAAAGAAATTTTTTCAAAGATATTGGAAAGAGCGTACTTGAAAATACCAGAAAATGATTCTCCCGTAATTTAAGCTTGAATATAAATTGTCGAAGCATACTTCAAATGTTAATGTATTTAGAGCTTGAAAGTAGAAGATTCTTTAACCTTTTTGCTTCGTTTTAGTACTTAGCCATCGTGTTGTTTAAAAAAATCTTTTACACATGAGTTTGTAGAGCATTGAATGCTTAATCTTTTGGGAAAATGTTCAGTTCAAATCAATGAAGAGCAAAAAAGATATTGAGTAAATAATGATACCGTCATTCTTTATGGACCACCCGTTACTTTCATGAAATCAACTGTATATTTTTGAGTGGGCGCCGCCCACCCTACCCATACAGTAAGTAAATCGCTGATCACAATTAGCGTTTTATATCTGTAAAAAATGTGTTAAGCTCTTTCAAACGCATTGCAAGTGAAATAGAATGCGATTAGTATGGTATGTCATGTCAAGTCTGAACTCTTTCATCCCAATATTCTCTACAAGAAAACATTTAGAAATGTGATTCTCAGCTAATCTTTTATGTGCTCGTCACGGTATATATCTGCTGAAAATTGCAAGATTTTCTGATCTGTTGTTGTAAATAGCCAATAGATATTCCTTATATAAATATTTTATAGAAGAAAAACGAATTAAAGTTAAATTATATTGAACGTTGAATGTCAAATAGACCAGTCATGAAATTGGCTTCTGCAATTGGAAAAACTAAGTTATGGTCTAAAATGGCTGACTTTTCATTACGAATAAAAGAAATCTAACACTATATCATTATCAAATCGGAGGATGAATATCCTATTATTAGATAAAGTGAAAAAATCTTAAAGAAAAATAATTTCAAACCATGAACTTATGTTGAAACATCTTAAAAAGGTATTTTCATTGTTCAACAGTTTATTTATCAGCAACAAATGAAAATCAATAAGAAAATTGTTTCTACACATAAAAGTATGCTCACTCGTACTGTTATAGGGGCTTGAGAGTCCGAGTGATTTTTTATGACTCGGACTGAAAAACTTGATTTACTTGCATAAAGCCTTATAATATATATAATTAAATTTCTACTTAATCACAAGTTTATTGCTAATTGAACGCATTCAATCCGAAGAATTCTTCAAGGGCTCTTGTTAACCTCTGGGTTCATATGTCAAAAGTGAGAACCTCAGTGTGAGTGGTTGCGTTTTAACTTTACGTTAAAGTTAAAGGTCAAGGCAGACTTTGTCACAATAATGTCTTTTTAAGAAAATTCTTTTTTTAAAGTTAATATGTCAGCCCTACTAAGCGTATTACTAAACATATTTATAAAAAAAATGATACTTTTTACTGAGGAGTTGATCTTGTTGTTATCACCTTTCTTATTAATCTCAAGCCTTACGGCTTCTTTTTATGTAGTTTTTTTTTAAATTTTGTTTCAAAGAACTTGAAACTTGAGGGTGTGTAATAAAATGTCACCGTAAATCTTCTTAGTAAAAATCAGCAGAGACCAATAACACGTAAAAAAAAACATTGACTCGATACGAAAAAAGTTTCACTTGCCAATTCTTCCGCTGTTAAAATGATATCGTTTGCCAGTAGTTTATAAAACTATGCTTTTCGTTCCGAATTGAATCCACTTGAATCCGCTTGAATCCACCTGAATCCATTTTAATCCATTTGAATCCAAGGGACTGGATTCTGCTGTTCCCCTTTGTTATTACAGCGATTGTCACTGCAAGAAAATT